TCTTTCTTTCTTTCTTTCTTTTCTCTGGGTTTCTTAATTATTATTGACTAGTTTATCTATTTAAATATGTTACATCTGGTGGGATATAAGGAATCTTCCGCACAACATTCACCAAGACCTAGCTAATTGATTATTGCATGCATATATATAGCTATATGGATAGATATGTCCAGGTGAAAATATTAAATTGCTCATCATATACCTAATTGATTTGATGGCCATGAACGTCAAACAAACACAGCCTTTAAATCACTCACAGCATAAAGGAAATTAAAGCTACCTCTTTCTCCCCACATCATAAATATATGGTATTAATTTATAAGGTCATGAGGGGCATATGTGAATGTCTTTTGCCCAGGAATGGTCTCTTGCTTCTCGTTGAAGTTTTCTGTTCATATTCTTCAACACAAGCCACAAATAAAAAACAAAATATTCACAAGTTGGGGAGAATCTCCGAGCATCATGGCCAAAGGAAAATGATCAGACCAGCCAAGCATGATATGTAGTTATGGATAACGATGAATGAGGAAAGGAAAATAGTGATAGTTCTCTCCGGATATATATAGAATCCAAAAGAAGGATTTCTTCTCCATTTTTTTTCACCCAATGAGAAGAATTCATTAAAAAAAGACTTAAGAAATACGTTTGATGTTATTGAACTAAAAGATTCTCACTTAAAAAAAGGGTTTATGTTTATACCTTTTATCTTTTAATTTACCAAAAAAAAATTAATATGGTTTAAGTTGTGGTATCTGTTTGTATGTGAATGTGAATTTTCTTTTCAAACTTTATCGTGATTACAGGTCAAGATTATATTTCTCGCCTTTTTCCCTTTTTCTTTTATCGACTGGGGCCTCACTAACAAAGTTGTCTCATCTACTTTGAGGAGGATCAAAAGTACATGGGAACTAGCCCTGCTAGAGCGGTCCATTTATTTTTAAAGGATCACTTATATTTTGATCCTGAGCGAAGGCACAGTCATCATTTCACCCTAGCAAAAAAATTTTAAAAAAATCCCTAAACGCACGAATTATATTTTTGGTAGATTATGACTTCCATCACCTTTTGATCCCGTTTCTGATTGGCTTTGCAGATTACTATTTAACCCCAACTGTAGAGGAATATAATTTCATATCCAGGTTATTGCAAAGATTATGGACTTTATTTAAGTCTTTAATTAACCAGGAATATAAAATAAACCATGTAGGGAGAAAAAAAAATTAAAGCTTGTGATTCGAGGGGGCAGGGAAGACAGAGCTGTCCCTAATGTACTGGAATAAGAATGCAAAAGCAGAATATAAAATATACGTATTATCGTATGTTGGGTTGTTTGGTCTCCCAACACGGTCATGAGGCAGCTAATTAATTAAACTCGCAAACTAATCCGCTTGTTCAGATTAATTATAAACCACTCATCTTTCACTTTCCATCAATTTTAATTTTATTGGTAAGGGAGAGACGTAATCAAAATGACAAGAGAATCTCGGGATTGTAACCTGCAGAATATTTGTATTGTACTGATTTAATTAGTGTGTACTCTCAACAAATATTTGATTCCTTCCAAAAGAGAAAATGGCCCTAATTAAAAAGCACTCCTTGTCACCTGAGAGTAATAATGCTGCGCCTACACATACTCACAATTATTAGAAGGACGCCGTTAGCTTTTCATTATCGTTCTAACTAGTTATAGAATCATCCCTTGGACTAATAATATTAATTATATTAGTCAGGAAAACAGGAGAGTGATATATATTATATATTCACCAATTTATGCTACACTAATAATTTTATATAAAAAAGGAGAGTGATATATGATATGTACGTAGTGATGAGATGCAAGTAATGAGAGGGGCGTATATATATCGGAGGAATGAGGTATGGGGTGATACGAAGATAGAGACTTGGCATATGAAAGCACAAGTGCGATGCAAAAAAGTTGAAGTTACGTTGAGAGATACATTCGTCGGTAGAGTTTCTAAGAGAGGGACAAGACTTCAGGACTTAAGGCCTGTTTGGATAGCAGACTAAATCATGGTTTGGAGACCCAAATCATGGTTTGAGAAAAAAATCACTCAAACAGGCACAAATTATCTGAAATCATGGTTTGGGTCGAAATCATGGTTTCGGGAGAAGTGAATCCATTCTACTTCTGGCTCAAATTAGAGAGTATGATTGTACTTGTTAGAGTAAATATCAACAATTAACTCTCATTTAAAATTTAATAACTTACCAACTTTATTCCTATTTAATTTATAGTATACAAATATCAACAATAATATGACTTTAACACCCCTTAATTAATTTTTTATAAACATATTTAATCTTATATCTTATGAATAAATATACACATATTAATTATTTATTAATTACGTTATCTTATGTATTATTAATTATGTTGGTAAAAAATATATTATTAACAATTTTATTCCTTCAAATTAAAATATATTATACAATCTATGTTTTATGTAATTATCATATTAACTTTTTTTTTTAATAATTTGTACATATAAAAAGTGTTTCTGATAACAACTATCCAAACACTCTCACTTCTTAGAATCACTTTTTCACAAAATCTATTCTTCACAAAATCTATTTTTTCAAGAATCTATTTTCTAGAAACTCTTCTCCAAACTATGATTTGGTTTCATCCAAACACCCCCTTAATATAAGATTTAACATAAAATTTCAATTGATTGATGTAAAAAGATTAAAAAAAGTTAAATAAATTATTCTCCTCTGGTCTATTTATAAGGCAGTTCTAACGTGTTTCACACGAACCAAGAAAAATCTTAAACTTTATTAACTCTCATTTAAAATTTAATAACTTATCAACTTTATTCCTATTTAATTTATAGTATACCTCCGGTAAATAAAGTCAACGCAATAATAAATGATTGTAAATTCATGCAAACCATTTCTTTCAGTGCCCTATAAATAGGATAAAAATATTTTTTTTCTTTACCTTATAAATAGGACCAGAGGAGTATAACACATGATTTTTTTTTAAATATTTATTATATCATTATATTATATATCAGTTTATAAGTTGGGCAAATTAATTAAAAAATAATAAATATAAATATTTTAAAATAATTTATTTATTTATTTTTAGTATTTCTAAATTAATTAACTGATAGATTGCGGAGGTAGCACGCAGAGATCAATGAATTTCTGATAGATATATCGAAGGTAAAGGAGGGGGTCAAAATAGTGAACATATATGCGAAGGGAAAAACTGTGGCTGGTAGGGTTGGTGTGTAGGACAAAGGAGGAGTAGGATATTGATTGTGAACAAATAAATGCTTTGGTCATCGTATTCACTGTTGCAGCAATAATCTCCTTCTTCAGCCCCCAACTCACAAAGCCAATCACTAACCCCACATGCTCTTCACCTGACACACGTACGTGAATCCAACCATCCTCTTTGGACTGATCCATGAGGAGTTAATCAGGCAGCTACAGTGAATTCATTAATTAAAAGGCCTTGTTTTTAATTTGCTTTGTCCATCCCTCACAGTGATCTCTCTTGCACATCATGTATATACACCAATTACGTACTTATACACCTACGATATATATAGGTAGGTCTAGAGAGAGAAGAGAGAGAGAAGTGGTCAAAATAAAACAAAGATGGGTGAAAGGTCGTTTCAGTGATACAGTGGATCCAAGGGAAGAAGAAGAAATGTGTAAGCAGAGCAGGAGGCATCGGTATATATGTTGCCAATCAGCCCAACCAACGCAACTTGGGCTGCACTGTTTTTAGCAGTTTTTGGTTATACTCTCTTCGCCTTTTGCCCATCCCTCTCTCTCTCTCTCAAAAGCTGCAAATCAGATCTCTCTCTTCTCATTCATATACCCTTACAGCCTGCTACTACTTCATCTTCTGCCGGGGACCATTCTCTCATATCATATCATCATCCATCTAGCTACCCCCCACGTCTTTTTCTTTTTCTTTTATGTCATATTATATTATAAGAGTGTGTGTGTGTATGCGTTTTCTTCTCTTCAAAAGCTAATCATTTGCTTTGAACTTTGCAAGGCAGCGGTGAATCTCAAGTGGTATATGTTCCATCCATCAGCAAACACATCTTCTCCGCTATCCAAAGCAAAAGGGGCATCGTATGCACCTCCCAACATAAAGCTGACGTTTATTTTCTTAAATGAAAAGCCTACGCTACATCTAATCTCCCACCATCCTCATCACTACACATGTAATGCTCATCCATCACCCCATTTATCGTACGTGTCTCATCAGTTGTGATATATATATATATATATATATAGTACATACAGAGACAAATGGAGCTTATTTATTTAGTCTCGCCTCTTATCCGTCCATCCTTCATCATCTGCATCTTTTGCCCCATTCTGAAACCATTGGTGCAAAGCCAAATACGGATCTTATGAAGAAATAATAAAGCGAGTAATTATCAATGCCGGGAAAAGCCGTGAAAATATGCCCCCACCCACAGTATTTGTCCATGCACATGCATCATTATCCCTCAAAGTTTGAGGAGCTAGGAGGTCTGCCTCTGGATTTGAGAAATCAAAAAGCTCTTCTTCATCTTAACCTCTTTTCCGGCATATATATTTATGTATATGTGGCTCCACTATGAACATTTCCGCATATTACAAGCGTCCATACCCAGTATGCATGGGTATATGTGCGTGTATATATGTATGTATATACACAAACCGTATATCCCTAAACAAAACGACAATCTTGCATCTATGAAAAATGGATTAAAATTAAAGACTGATATATGCATTTTCGGAGCTGCACTTGTGTGTGTTATAATAAGCTACTTCATCTCGAAGCATTATTTTAATTGCTTCTTCCGATCGATTTCTTCGGTTCCAATACGTATTCTTCTCACGGAAGGGAACGTTTTGCCAGGGTGGGTAAACGAAGTGGGATATAAATCTGAATTTACCCGTCGCCGGCGGCTGCATATAATCTATTATCAACTATGAATCCAACATGAGAAATAAAGGCCAAATAAACCAGAAGATAGTTGGCTTCCATTTAAACTTAATGCTTATATTATCCTAGTTAATGATCCGTTCATCATCATAAGCTAAGATACATAGTCCTCATATATAAAATATAAATTAATCCCATTGTGTAGTTGTTTTACTGGGTGGACTCGTTATCTTGCTCAACTTCGGACGCAGGGTCTTCTTCTTCTTCAAACCCATCGATTCCATAAGCAGCATGGCCAACCCCAAAGGCTTTGATGTGATCCTTAAGAGACCTCTTGTGCTTAAAATCAGAGCCGCAGATACAATACCAGAGCTTGCCACAGTTCTTCTCGTGAGTTCTCCAATCGCCTCTCACAGCAAAAGCCTTCCCACATTTTCTACACATGAAGGGCTTGATCCCATGCTTCCTCTTGTAATGTGTTTGAAGCGTTCTAAAATCCTTCAGTGGCTTCGCTCTTGGATGATCGATGTTGTTTCTGCAACCTGGAGCGCAACAATAGCATGGAAGCCTCAGCATGCCCGTTGGTTGTGTTCCTCTCAGTGATTCAGGCCCTTTTCTGTACTGTGATCCATGCCCCCACATATGCATCTAATAAACCATATACCAAATAAATCAATAAATAGTTTCAACATATGCATATTGTCCAGTTTATCAACTAGGAGACAGAAGCGAACCCTGCTAGCCCACTTGCTAATTATTAATTAAATCTCAAGGAATCTATATTCTCAGTTTTGGTCCATTTAAATTAGATCTCTTGTATACAGTCAAATGTGTGATGATAAATCATCATGATGGTGTCAAGATTTGAAATTTGGATTTTTTTTAAAAAAATTTTCCCCTTTTCTTTATAGACAAGTGACACTCTCAGGAAGATATTTTCCCTTACATGAAATGTAATTTGATTAAAGAACCGCTTTGAAAGAAATGGGGTTCTTCTTCGGCCACGGCGCGAGTTTGTGATAAATATCCGGAAAGTGATAATTTTTCATATTCAATGTATATGGAATGGAAAGAGAAAGAAAGACGAGGTCTCTAACTTGTAGATGTATACTTCGTAAGAGGTTGAGGGAGAATGAGCCATATATCCCATGTTTGAGATTTGATAATCGAGATATATTATGGAAGCGACAGAAAGAGAAACAAGCTAAGCTTGAAGTGAAAATAATTAATAAGAGTATATGTGAGGGATCTGGAAGAAACACAGCAGGATTTGCAGGTATTGGATGGAGCTGCCAGAATGGAGACTGGAGAGGCACGGACTTCAATGTACAAAAGGCATAAGGAACATTACCTGAGTAGTTTAATCAACGAAAAGGAAAGGTACTGATCCAAGTCACAGTTTGAATCAGCCCAAAAAAAAAAAATAGTAGTTGTTTTTTTAAATATATCCCCGTTTACCATGCAAAATCTCCGAACAATTTGAGTCGCAGTAATGGAATCAAATAAAACTAAATCGTGGAACCCGAACTCATAATGACCCAGTGGAAAAAATGAAAAAGGTAGAGAAAAAACTAAGGAGAAAGAAAACAAGAAAGCCGAAGGAAGAGGCGCGGGCAAGTACCCCGTATGCCATGGCTATATAGAATAAATAAATCAAACTTTTTTTTTCCCCGTTTGGAAGTAAGCAAAAGAGACGCGGTTGAGGGTTCAAATCAGGGAAGAAAGTAAGGATAATAATTCGTAATTAATTTGGCTGGAAATGGAGGAAAAGAGAGAGAAGAAACAGAAGAGAGGGATAGAGCAAAAGAAGAAGGGACCTGCATGTTGTTGTATCTGTTGAAGGTCTTGAAGCAAACAGGGCAAGAGAACTGGGTAGGACCAATGAGAATCTGAGAAGGAGTAGGGATCCAGTACTGTCCCTTGTTGAGCTTATTGTGGAGCATGAAGCCAGACCCAGAACAACAATCCTCATGATCTCCGCCGCCGCCGCCGCCTCCTCCTCCTCCTCCTCCGCCATCTCCTGCTCCTTCTTGTTCTTTATCGTTGCAGGAGGAGAGCACAGAAGCCATCTCAGCAGCACTAGGGCTGGGCAACCCTATGTGGAGTGCAACAGTGACAGTGGCTTCATCGTCCTCCTCTTCGTCTTCTTCTTCCTCTTTGGGTTTAGCACTGTGGAGAATGATCCTGTCGTCGGCCTTGGCATCCAAATAGTCTTGATGATGATGACCATCTTGCTCTTGCTTGGTCGACGGGCTGAGGCTCAGAAGAGGAAGAGCTTCTCTGAGAGGAGGAGACGGTGGCGAAGGGATATTAGAGGAATAAGAAGCGGCGTGGTGGTGGTGGAAAAAGCCGCCGGAGGAGGAGGCAGTGGGGTGGTTGATGAAGTTGTGGAGAGCATAGGGATGGTGGTGAGAAGAAGGATTGGAAGAAGGGAAAGGGTTGAATTGGAAGAAAGGGGGAGAAGAGAAAAGATGAGAGTAAGGGTCAGCCATGGTGATGAATAAAGTAAGTGTGGGAATAGTTTGCTTTCATAGAGAGAGAAAGAGAGAGAGAGAGTATAAGATGGCTGAAGGGAGTGGACGGTGGAGAGAGAAAGAGAGGGGATACAGGAAACAGGAGAGGATCGGAGGAGAGAAACAAGTAAAGGCGAGTGGGATGGGAAGAGGTGAGATGAGCCAAACTTAGTACAAAAAGAAAGAAAACGCAATAATTTAATTGTTGATCGTTTGGATTTATAATTAATTACAGTCAGGAATCTCTCTTCACATTTCCTATTCTTCTTCCGCTGACCGCTGAGCCCTTTTTTTAATTTATATAAAAATAATAGTAGTATATGGGAACATTACGAAATAGAATTTCCAGGGAATTACCGTTACCGGCATCCATAGAACATAACTAAATATATAAATATATAAATATATATTCTTTTTATTCGTTGGCAATATATATAAATATATATCCTTTTTATTCCCGTGGCCGTATTACGTATTTACGACTTGTCACTGTTGCCATATTATTGTGCTGCCCATGTTTTGCTCAATCACACCACTATATACTTTGATTTCCTAAACGGGGTCGCCCATTTAAAAAAAAAAAAAAATCGTTTTTTGCCGCTTGTTGGCGCAAATATATATTTAATTCATTAAAATAAAACTCCCATCTTGTATGAGTTTGGATTGCCCTGAGTTTCATCTTTTCGTGGGTTTAAGTCAATGCAATAGTTATTAATGAGATCGGAGGTGCCTTCGCTTTCTTATTGCCTTTTTTATTTTTTTTAAAAATATCTCTCATACAAAAATGTTATATTTTTTCAAAAAAAAAAAGAACAGAAAAGAAAAAACGGAAAGACAAAAATTCAATTTCGCATAAATAAAAATTTGTAAGCATTTTCATAATTAAGGATGTCCGTGTAACTAAGATCAGGTTCTTCTGGATTTTTTAATTAATTTTTAAATTTAAAACTACACAGTAAAAATCTTATTTTAATCTCTTAGAGAAACAATCCAAAATTTAATCATGATTTTAATTTTCCATTACGAAAAACTCTTTTTTTTTTGTAAGAAAAAAAATTCAAAGTTTCAAACCCATACAATCGATTGCTAGTAATAATATTTCAATAGAAAGATACAGTTCATGGCCCATAATAGTGCTTTGGAAGCATTTTAATAAGTTTATATGTTAGATTCACATATGCAACATGTAAAATGCATCTAGCCGGTAATTATATGAAGGGTAATGCATATAGACATAGTTACTGATATTAATTAATTTGGCAGATGTTAGAAAAGTGATTTTAATCGAGAATATAATGTATGATTCGAATGATAAACATACAAATCTCAGCTCAACGTACGCTTCTACAACGTTAATGTTTTAGAGGGCTTCACTTTCTGATAAGTTATACAAAGAAATTGCGTCAATGAAATTATATTCCTTATCAATGATAACTTCCTGCTAAGATAAATTAATGTGGAAAATTAACAATAATTAAACCATGCTCGTATCCAAATAAATTCTTACGAAGTTTCCACTCAATTACGTGTTCATGAGTTCATCTTAGCATAATTGATAAATCGTCGCTAAGGAACAGGTAACATGGAGCATATATAAATACACACACACATACTAAAGACTTGGAGCAAAATTAAATAAATAAATGAAAAGATCACCAGTTGAAGGTTTTTTTTAAATCATAAATAGTTTAAGTTATTTTCTGGAAACAAAAAAAGTTAGCGCTGGAGTTTGAAATTTTGATGTACTCCTCTGATTCTATTTATAAGTTACTTTCAGCATATTTCACACAGACTAAGAAAAACTTTAAACTTTATTAACTCTTATTTAAAATTTAATAACTTTTCAATTTTATCCTTATTTAATATATATTATATCTCATCTAAACAACACCAACACAATAATAAATGAAAGGTAAAATTGTATATTCATATAAAAAAATTTTAATATCTTATAAATAGAACTAGACGAGTAATTCCATGATCCATTTTCACTCACCGACACTTGCTTACTGGTTCTTGCTAGAATTAATTCTAACTTTATTGGAACAGTCAAAATTGACCCAATCAGCTGATTGCAATATGAAGAAAAAAAAATAAAGAAAGATAATAAATATGTAATTGTAAGATCGGAAGTTAATGATTAATTTTATATCGAAAAAGAAGTTAATGATTAATTGGGTTGTTAGAAAACAACATTACAAGTCTTATCTTTTGTTTTCTTTTTTCCCAGAGAGTCTTTTCAAACTCACAGGCATTTGCTTAATCATATATGATCAGCTTTCTTTGTTACTCTTCTCGTCTTATTTCTAGAGTAGAGAGAAAATATATTTTTTAGTCTTATTTATAAGATACCAAAATTTTTTTTTGCATAAATGTATAATTTTACTTTTCATTTATTATTTTGTTGACTTTGCTTAAATGAAGTATAATATATATTAAATAAGAATAAAGTTGAAAAGCTATTGAATTTTAAATGAGAATTAGTAAAATTTAATTTTCTTTTAGTTTGTGTGAAATATGTTAGAAGTAGCTTATAAATATGATTAGAGAAGTAATTAGTAAGGACAAACATTAAAGAGACTGAATTTAATAAAAAATTGACACATAAATAGTAGTAAAACTGGGAAACAAGGCGGGAAAAAGAAATGTGAAGCCATTATTCTTCTCGAATGTGTAGTGTACACACACACACACACACACTCACATCCTTCTAGTGTTTTGAAAATGATAAAGATATTTAATGGGGAGATAGCTGTGAATCTCACAATTTATATATCTCTTTCCTCGCTTCTTATAATTTATCTTAGTTAATTATCTTCCTAGCTGTGCTCACTTCTTTGGACCACTCATAAATGCTGGGGGATCCACAAACATTCTCACTAAATTATTTCCAGATTCAGCATGTTGTGTTATTTATAAAACCAAGGAAAAGGTTAAATAATATACGTATGTCTAATACAATTATATTCAATTCCCTTTAACTTATTTGCAAAGCGTATTGGCCACATTAATCTGTGGTTTCACACATAATAAAGAAATATTTTTGCATACATTAGTTATCTTATGTTGAAGCTTGGAGGTAATAATATGATAGGTGACTCAGCTTTTTTTTTTTTTGGTCTCAAAACCTGCGATGATTAGTTGGAAAGAGCGTATTAAGACCGTGATTAACAAGAATATATATTTCATATAGGAAAAGCTTAATTTATATACAATCATAATAACCTACGCTCATTATAGAATGATTTGTACGTAGATAATGAATATATTTATAGTACTCGTATTTAAGTAGTTAATTAGTTAAAAAAAGAGTGCAATAATAACGGTTGATTTTGTTAACTCATTGAGTAGTGACCAAAAAAGTGGAGTGAAAAAAAAGGAGGAAATAGAACCTAGAGGGACGATAAAGATGAAAGAGAGACAGAGGAACAAACTAATTCCAAAGCAGCCAACATTTCCGTTGGTGTGCGCAAACCGGTCTGTGTCTTATTTCTTACCTTCTCTCTTTAATATTCAATCTCCAATCTCTCCCTCCAATTCATATATATGTGTGTATGAGATTGTCTTCCCAAGTTTAGTTGAGATTATGTGTGTGTGTGTATATGTAGAATGATTATATATATATATATATAGAGAGAGAGAGAGGCATTGCAATGAGACGCCCAAACTGTGAACCGTCAATTGTTCTGATGTGGCTAATATATATCTGATATAGTCCTTTGGTCTTATTTACAGAAGAGAAAGAAGACATATTTGGTTATATCCATAGGATACTGAGAGAAATTTTTTATATGAATGTATTGTAATTTTATCCTTTATTTATTATTATACTGACTTTGTTCACATTAGGTATATTATATATTAAATAAGTATAAAGTTAGAAAGTTATTAAATTTCAAATAAAAGATGATAAAGTTTAAGATTTTTCTTGATCTGTGTGAAACATGATGGAAGTGGCTTGTAAATAGTAATAAGAGAGTAACATGAGTTGCATTATTATATTCATTCGACTTGACTTAATAGATAAATATATAGATAGATTGATTGATGCAATTATCCGTATATGTGTGTGTGTGTAGAGTGGAAGGTCAAAAAATAGAGAAGGGCTGGTTCCAACTGGACACACGACCAATGGCGTGCCTTGCGGGGGGTTCTGTGTGTGTGTGGAAGAGATTGATTCTAAGTTTGAGAAAGGTTTAGGAAATCCCAACATTGTTGTTTCCCTCATTCCTATGATTTCCAACATGTGTGCCCATCCCACAATGCTTTCATCTCTTTTCTTATTAATTCACTCCACAATTAGTTATTAGTTTGGTTTTCACCTCTTAGGAAATTACTGTAACATCTTACTTAATTAATTTCCCCTTCTTCTCCCAAAACAAAATACTCAAAAAATAGAACATATATGTCTATATACGCGCGCGCACCCCATAAATCTAGGCTTTTTCCATCTATTCCCCGCTTGCAGGACCACTTAAAAATCTGTCTCTCTCTCTAATCAAAGCAAAAGTAAAAGGCTTTTTCAAGTTGGAATATATGTTTCTGCTTTTATTTTCACCCCCCCCCCCCCACAAAGAAAAAAGGTCATTTACACTTAATTAACCCAGCCCCAACCACAGTTTAATGTGTTCTTGTCACTTCCCATCCACACCAACATCAGCCTACATATGCGTCGCATATTTAATCCCCCACTCATGTCTTATCTTTCCCCAAATCACACTGCTTTCCCCCTCAATCATCTTATACGTTGCCCCCTCCAAATTAAAAGACTTAAAACCCCTTCCTCTATCATCTATTTATGTATTATTTCCAGTCTTAGTTATAAGACCTCGTTTATAGTCTGTAAATGAGGTCTTATAATTAGGACGGGAGGTAGTAGTATATATATATGTTCTTATATTGCATATATATGTTTCTTAATTATATATTTAAAAAGTAGTTACCCCATAAGTATTCCCATTTCTTTCACGTCCATATATATGATACGTAGTGTCATTTCATAACAAATTAAATCAAACGCTAAGTATATCTGATACAGCATATTATCAATACATCGTCAACATCAAATCATACAGCTTCATTTTATGACTAGAGACAGCAATTTTGTCATTCACATATGATCTTATTGTAGATTATGGAAAATTCTTGCTTTAATTTAGACTTTAAGGAACACTAACACTATTATGCAATATTTAATTCACGTGAAGACATTTTCTTTCTAAAAAGCACTTTTCCGCATCCCAAATATTACATCAAATTCAAAAACTGTTGCTTGGCGGTTTTTCACGCTGCGGTAATTAACGGTTTTTGTCTTGTCTATAACCATATGCAAAAGTTTTGTAATATTGGGTACTCAATATATTGCCTCTCACTTAGTAAATTCTAGTCGCCATTATACTCTTAAATGTTTGCCTCATATGTTATTTAAATTGAAATGATAACATTGCCACCTCTCTTTCTTTATCCAAAGAAAACCTAGCCAGCTTCCCGCACCTAACCTCGAACTCGAAGATCCAAAGAGTTACAGTCTTGCAATACAAAAAATCTTTGAAATCTGGTAAATTCTGGACCCAACACACCGTTGAACTACAAATTCATACATGGAGAACATGAAGTGGGGGAAGCACTATACAAGCACACACAGTTATGTTCCAACATATCTATATATATAGCTTAGGGTGTAGCACTTGTTTATAATATATATTATATATAAACAAATGTTAAATTAAAATTCTGAGCTTGAAACAGGGAACACAATCAAGCAGTTTTAGCAAAAAGGGCATTTGTTCATCCTTTGTGTTTCCAAGACAGCACGAGTGTGATAGCTTACATTGTAAAACGAGAATTAAGTTAATGGTTTATTATATAAACATCCTTCTCTCTTCTGGTGTCCATGTCCTCTGAAAAATTCCAAATGTCTCTGTCCCGTGATTTTTAATCCATCCCCATGATCACTGTACTGAAAGAAAAACAACTCACCCGTCCATGCACACATAAGAGAACTCAAAACTTTTGTTCCTTTCTGAAGATCGCTCGTAAATTGCTCTTGTGGTCCACCTCGTTGGAATTGATGCTATCAACACTAATCCATTTGGTAAAAATATATCAAGCACGTGATAGAAAATTGGAATGGGGAAAAATCTGATCATGTTGCTTAAGAAAATTTCTCAATACTGGACACGTTCAGGTCTGGGAACAACTTAATTAAAATCATATATGGACAACTTTTTAGAGGAAATGATGAGATCTAATGTACATCAGAATTCACATAAACGGCTAATTAATGTGACTAAAACCTTTTACGAATAATGATGACAACTTTTGTTGGATATTTATATAAAGGATACAAATTTGTGTGTAAGAAAATATAAGCGCGAAAGAAAGATTGATGAAGGAGAAAAGAGATAGCCAGCGGAGGAATGGAACAAATAATAATATTCTGTCTGAAGCATGGAAGGTCCAAATTAGTTTGGTGATTGAGACGCACTGTTTGAAGAAAGTTATGACATCATCAATGCCTTCTCATCCACATACACACGGAGTCTCTCTTTCTAGGGTTAAAAACTCAAATGGGTTCACTCCGCGAGAGAGAGAGAGAGAGAGAGAGATGCAATCCTAGCTAGAGCTATAGAGAGGGTTGTGAAAGTGTGCAACAAAACGCAATAAATAAAGAGGAGAATAGAGGGGCCTGAATTGTGAGGTTATTATGATGAGTGATGAGTTGTGAGGGGTGACCATCTCCATCCGACTGCTTGGCTGTCTGCTCTCATCAAAAGCCTTACCTGAGTACGGCCATTTGACCTATTTTGAACACCATCAAGTTAAAACAAGAAAATGGAATTTGCTTGAACCGTAAATTTTGAGGTGATGTGTTCATCAACGAGTTCTAAGTAAGAAGGCTATCATGTGAGGTGGACTGTGGACAGAGGGTTAGATAAACAATCACCATCAAGAGAGGGATTGGGAATGATGAAGTAAAAGGGCCCTATCTGTGGATCAGCCAATAAATACAGAGAGAGACTGATGTTTCTGCCCCTCCCCAACTCAGCCTCCTTCATGACTTGAGAAAAAGAAAGAGACAACAGTTTCAGTTCAGTCATTACTGTTCCAAGAAATCCAAAGAATAATGTCGTTGTCTTCCACTGCCTATGACAGATCATATCATAACTACAAACCCATTTATACATCATAATGAAAATGTCCTAGTATTTTTTTTTTTTCACCCCGGCTTAGAATACTTTTGGCAGCCAGCGTCGTATAAAGCAGCCCAAGAAGATGAATAGAACAGTAGGGTTTTCTACTAGGGCAAAGTAAAGCCGCCAGTCTGCCAGACACATACTTCTCCAAGTAAAAGAAGCTGTTAGGCATCGAAACACCCCCCCCCCCCGGGAAAAAAAAAAAAAAAGGTCGGAGAGAGAGCTGCTAGCCCATGGCCATTTTTCGTACGCCTAACCTTCACCAACCTTTTGGTGGGCTACTGTTTTTCCGATCTAGCAGAATCACTGGAAGGCTAGTTCTTAACTTCATTGTTTAAAGGCATGCAAAAATTTGGTACGAACAACTACTGGGGCACAAAGTCTAAACTCATTATCGTCAGTCCACAAGTACCACCAAAGCGCCACTTTTCGATATGGTTCTCATGAGTTTTAATGTGAACCGTGTTCCACTTTATTTCATTATTATTTTTCTTTCCACTTGGTTCTCAGGGTTTTGTTTTGGGGGACAATATTCATTTCGTTTCCGCATCCATCTTGCACTGCAGTTGGTAGACTATTAAATAATGCATGTAATAAAGTAATATTACCTCATCTCATCAAAAGCATGATAATATCATATTACACTGAACTTTCACTATGATCATAATGCACTGTTATCTTTGGTAAGACGGGAAAATGGCAGGATAGATTATCGCTATACGAATCAACTGTAAGGGGAGCTGCATCCCAAAGGACAGAACACCTATCAGTACTTTTTTTTTTTTGTGGGCCTGAACCTTCTATCAATACATTAATTGCCTTCCTAAAGAGAAAAAAAGTAACTTTAAATAAATACTTGCAAATAATATGTTACACTAAGGCCAAAATTTTGCAGGAACTCCTGGAGGCGTTGAAGACCGTACGGCTTCAGTGAACTAGAGCTTCTGCATCAAGTCAAAACTCCCAGTACCCATCTTTATTGGCAACCCAAGACAGACTCTAGAAGATGGCGTTTCCAAGCAGTCAACCTCCCCATGATAGGCTGCTTCAACTATGAATTTGGCTGCTGTCTCGAAAGACATTTTGCTTAAAGGAGAAACGGACTCAGCTATGCTCCCAATTCTGCTCATTGGACGATAGCTGCCCGTATGCGTCATATAATCAGCAATAAGGGTTAAGTGCCGAATATTTACAGATATACCGTAAGATTTGAAAACATTTGTTATTTCCCTGATGATGGTCTCTCTGGCAGCTTCCACCCCATACGTTTCTAGCATAGCATGGACGTTGTTTGAATATATGTACCTAACATCAAGTTGGTCTTGCAATTCCCAGAATGTTGTGAAATCTACACCAGTCGTCTGAAGCGCTGGCATTTTTTCCTTTACTGAGGATGGAATATCTACCCTTTTCCTGTGATCTTCACCATAGTAGATTACTTGACTCTCCTTGCACGTAATAGCTCTACATTGGTCAACCTTTCCAAAGTTTTGGATGCAAACCTTCTTCGCTGTTCTGCTAGCAATCTACATACAATTCCATAAAACAGAGAATTCAATGAAGGTACCTCCGATGTCTGAGAAAAAAATGACCGTACATTGACCTGGAGAGCTCATGTTTTATAAATAGAACAACAAAACACAAATGCAACTTGTTTCTACGACTGTTATTGGCCAGGCGAAAGGATGGCGCACACTCTTCCTAGAGCATCCCCATCTTACAAGAGCAGTAACGGCAAGTGAACAGTCAACTATCCTCGCCCTATTCAGTTGCAAATTGGCATGCGCACAACACTCAAAATTAAAAAACATGCAATATATATACAATTTTCCACTTCAGAAACACGCAATCAAAACATCGAAAGAGAACAATGAGTATAATACTTACAAAGAAAGATATAAAAAATTTTAAATGGTTTAAGGCAAAATAACTAATTCTGATTTTTCTACCAAGGTTAGCTTCTAGTTATTAGCCCATATTTTTCTTTCTAATTTTTCATTCATTTGACAACTTTCAATTTTGACGTTTTAGGATGTTTGACCTATAGAAAACAACACGGTTCAAACTCGAATCTAATTATTATAATAACTTCCCCAGATAGTGTATCATACAGTAATCAGAATGGAATAAACCATCACATTGACAATAATACAACCACGAGTTTATATCAGAGAGAAAAAGAAAAAAAGTCAGCCATGAAATGGATACCAACAGTAACAGAAAAAGAGGCGCATTCAAAATTACCTGAGCCAACAAAATATGAGGTTCCCCGGTAAATCTAAAATGGACCTCAAAATGCATCCCTTTTGCTTTAACAAAGATAGCCCTGTCAGTATCCTTTACCGATCTCTTTCTAGATTTCATTTTTGGCTTTTCATCAATAGACTTGCTGTGCTTGGATTCAAGTACTCGAGTGCCATCATTCTCATTGACTTCAAAATCACTTTCCCCATGGCCGTCATCCCCTCCAACGGTTTCCTCCGATTGCTCCCCTTCATACGTTTCTTCCACACCATCTTCATAATCAATTTCATCTCTACCTTGTCGTTTTCTCTTCTGTGCATCAGTGCCTAGATCCTCACCCTCTTCAGCATCCTCCCCACCATCGTCGTCGTCATCATCACCACCACCATCATTGTGAGCTTTTTTGTCTTTATAAACATTGCTAGAATCATCTTCCTCTAAACTTTGCGAAGAATTTGAAGAATCTGACGTAACAGATTTTATGCCACTTATTTTAGAGAGCAGTAACATGTGATTTTCAATAGCATCCTCCAACTCTCTCACAAAGACAACTTCCAGAGTTTCCTCCCAGTCCTCAAGCAATATATCAGCATATTTTGGGTAGTGTTTAGGCTTGTAAAGCTTCATCTCCAATTTATATATACTGCAAATCTTACCACCATCAACAGCTACCGGTACAACAGATACTTTCATACTCTCTATTATGTCTGCTACTGTTATTTTCTTTAGGTTATCAGCAAGCCGAATGGCATGGTCCCTATGATCATCAAATAAGGTCAAATATCAATTAAAAGATGTGTATCTAACTGGCAATCAAATCAACGAGTTTTTGAAGCAGAGTAAACAGAAGAGTGTCAATATCTCACATGGATTTATCCTGCATCAAGGGGCATGTCATCACTGGGGTCTTGATATCGCGTGTGGCAGTCATCAAGATCTCTTGCAGTCTCGGAATTCCAAGAGTCACATTCATTTCACCTCGTCCGGCAAGGTGAAATGTATTTAAACTGGAAAAGGGTATGAAAGAAAATGAATGACACGTAATGAAAGCACAATTAATCAGTCCGGGAAGGTTTGATCATGGCTTTACAATGTAATCAAAAAAAGAAATAATAAAATATCATGCTATTTCCACTTGAGCCTTTATAATGTGCATGATCCAATATGAGAAATTGTGGACAGAGAGAATGAGGTGAAGTACAAATTATACTACCTGTTTGAATCTTGCAACATAATTAGAACTGGATCAGTCATTGAATTGGTTTAAGTACTATTTCACTGTTCACTGGTCAGACCATGGTCTAATTGTGGCTTAATTAATAAAAAATCATAGAATATATATTACAGCACACGATACTCAAAGGAGGCACACTAACATGGCTAGAGTCTGGAGCATCACGCATCCTCTTCATTTATTGTCACCCTCACGGATGGAGTATTTGAAGATTATGAATTATTATCATGTTATTCTAAAATCACAGGTTTGTTATCTTAAGCTTTCTTTTCAATTGGTAAAGGTCACCTCCATTCATTCAAGAGGAAAAAAATAAGGTCAGATATGATAGAGATGGGTTTGATAATGGTGGAAAGTTGAAGAGGGGGCCGGGGGCTGAACATGGTAGAGACAGGCTTGATCACAGTGAGCGTTGTTCATAGGAAGCCCATGAATGTGTTATTGGCTAGATTCTCTCATGATGTGGTAGATAGTTCCGTACTTTTGATCAGTTTCTATCATTATGCCCTCAACTAGTTGAACATGACGGAGATGGCGCACTTTTTAGCAGCGTTTTATACAGCCATAATCAGCGTCCTTTGACTGTTCTATATTTACATGTTTATATTATTGTCTACCCCAACATGGTTCTTATAATTGATTATTGTTTTGGGTTAAGGTGCAAAATTTACCCATAAATTATTCTGCTAGGGGCACTAGACACCAAGAACTTTCTTGAGTGCAAAAGAAGTTTTCAAAATGGTACAAAAATATCGCGACTGTTAAGTCAACTAATATTGACCATTTAACAAACATATCAACCAGGAAAATGGTGCAAATATACATATGAAATTTTTGAAATGGTGCAAAAATATACATGAAGTTTCTAATAACCATGGCATTTTTGCACCATTTTGAAAACTGTGTATTTTTGTACCATTTTTTTAACCTATATGTTTACTAAACAGTCAACATTAGTGGACTTAATGGCCATGGCATTTTTGCACCATTTTAAAAACTTCATGCATATTTTTGCACCAGAGAAAAGTTTATGGTGTTAGACGGCCATGAGGAAATATTTTTGAGTAGATTTGCACCTTAACCCTATTATTTTTCTCTATTGATCAAGTCTTCCCTCCAAATAGGGAGAATTTCCTTCTTGCATACTCTGTCAGGAAACTAAAAGCTCCTGTAAATCCAAACCATGGCCATAAAGTCTTCTTAATTTTGATTTCCAAATCTCAGCAGTCATGCATGATTGATTCCCTTCACCAAGCAACAACTTCATGTATGCTTTACTAATGCAAAGGCAAGTATAAGTAATTTCCCTATGTACTTCATGGTGCCATAAGTATTTAAAACACGAGAAGAAACTTCAACAGATATATGAGGAACTTACGTCATCTGCGTTGATGGTTCTCCCACAGATTGAGAAGCCAACACACCAACTGGCTCTCCTGGCTGTGCAAGACTTGAGACATATTTGTGCTCCATCAACTTCAAGAACTCGGCTCGGTTAATTGAACTGAAAATTCTCTGCTTAGAAGAGATATCACAAATGAAGTTTTCTGCTTTTTCTTTAAGAGCATCTGGCAACTTGTTAATATAAGGACTGGATCTGTCTATCTCATGGTGACATTTGCTGTAAATCATTTCCTTATTCTGAAATTAATAAACAACTAAATAAATGACAAGACCCAGACTCTATTTGCAATGTATGATTCTGAAACAAATAAAAAAGGGGAAAAAAAAAAAAAACTCTTACAGTTAACCAAACTTCAAATTTGGTGAGAAAGCTAGTTTGATGAACATCTACCCCATCTTCTCCATAATGGAACTGAATAATTGATCCATCAGCATCACGGACAGAATGATCATAACAGACTTTTAGGCACTCAAGGTTTTTTATGAGGCATCTTTGCAGGTATCCACTCCGTGATGTTTTGACTGCTGTATCAACTAGCCTGTGAGGCAAAGATGTCAATAGGCAGGAAGAAGTAATCATATGACAAGCCAATAATACATTATACCTTGTATGTACAGAACAAAACAATGACAAGTGAAATTCAAAAGACTCTTATTTGTTTCTCTTCTATTTCATTTTATTTTGCTCTAGCATTTCTTCCCATTATGTATTCAGAGCTTTATTACTTAGATTAAAAGAGGTTACAAGAATTATTATGCAGTTATTATGTTTGACTTCAGCGAGATATACTTCTACAAGTAAATACTTAATTTCCTAACTATGATCACTGTGATTAACACCACAACCATATCTATGACAAGAATGAAGAAGTTTACTTACCCTTCACGACCGGCCATGCAATGGAAGTAATATTCTTGTGGACGTAGACCCGTAAGAAACCGATCAATAATAAACCCCCCCGCTCTAGAGGAACAATCCCATGGAGGAAAACATGGCAAGGTCTTTCCAGAAACCATGCGAGGGACTCGTCTTCCTTCCAACTCTTGTTGACCTAAATGAGAAGATATTTGCTGGAAATTAACCTGTAAAAAACAGAAATCAATTAAATTGGAATTGCTAAAAACAATTAGCAGAACACACATAATTTGTACCAATTGGACAGACACAAGGCCCCAACATAAGAAAAAGTTTGTAGAAACCAGACATGAAAATGCAGTTGAACGTAGAAACTATAAACCAGATTGTAATCAGTTCTTGGGCCAAAAAGCTGTCGAAAGCTAGAGAAATAGCCTGACCTTGCAAGTTGGTTAACGACCCACATAACTTGTATAGATTCATTAAGAAACTTCTACAGTAGTTATCAGATTATAAAGGCTTTAGTACCATTTTAAGAGTAAAACTTCCCCAGAGTAACGAAGCCATTTGCTCAAAGCCACTATATTACAATGTTAGCCCCGCTTAAAAATATGCTGCCAGCCTGAAATCTCTGGGGCACTGAAGCTTTTCTACCATTAAGCATGATTCCAAAAGGAATGCCTTGTAAACCAGTGAGCCTTGCCAATTATCTATTTATTATAATATAAAATCTATAACAAGCTGCACTTTTCACGAGCCATAAATAGTGTGACTCAAATTTCAAACTTCGTCTAACACACAGGAACCCACCCTAGTTTGCCTTAAGTTTACTCATGTCATGCATACATTCCCATTGGGCCCTTTAACACTTCACACTTGTCAATATGCATACCCTCCAGATTCTACCACTTTTGTTATCATAAATCATACATATTCAACGTTCAAATTAAAAAAATAATATATAATTGACAAAGTTTAACAAATTCTCAAAAAATTTAAACAGGGTCTAAATTAAATTTTTGCAAAATGTACGGAGACAATTATAGATGATTAAACCAAGAAAAAATTGAATACAATTATAGGGACCAAAATAACAATTTTTCCTTTTTGATAATTGCAAATTCAGTGCCATATCTACTTTGTCTTCAACAGGATCTCTCATCCCATCAAGCATGATGTAATGAGTTTCATTATGATCTGGACTATTATGCATAAAACTTCGGTTTACAAAATGTAAGAAGAAAATTGTCACAAAAAAAAAATGTACGAAGAAAATCATATCTGTTTTTGAGTACAAGAATTTGGAAGATAAAGAGATTCTTAGTATAAATAAAATTTGAAAGTCCCCAATACCTTGCTTGTAGAAAGAAGAAACATCAACAATAGAATTAGTAATATCAATTCGATTAAGTGCATCATCTACTTTGTCTTCAATAGGATCTTTCATCCCATCATGCATGATGTAATGGATTTCATTCTAGTCCAAGACTTTCGGGGACAAAATTCAAGAGCTCCCAAAATGTTTTTCAGAGGGAAAAATGAGTTAAAAGATGAAGAGATACTTCGTGGTAATAAAAATTGAGGGTCTACAATACCATGGTCATGGAAAGAAAGGGCGTCACAAAATATATAAAAAATATTTTTTTTGGATTAGAAAAATAAACTACACAAGTTAATGTTCCTTTGGGACCTGATCCTCAAAGTGTAACAGTAATAAATGATGTACAAACTGAGTCATAACTCGTCACATATAAATGTAACAGAAAATGTTATTCGAGGACTTGAAAGACTAACGTTTTTCCCTCCTAGAACAGCACATGCAGAAGCTAGAAGGTTTCAATACACGGGGCCATCAAAATAACATGAGAAGTTAGAACAGTAAACTTACCATGCTACCTTTAGCTCCAGATGTAGTCATAAGAGAAATACAATTCTTTCCACAAGGCTTCAATATCCCTTCAGAAAGCAGCACCTTCAACATCCCAGAGCTTGTTTTGGAGTTAAGACTGCTTATCATCTTCCTATCCAAGTATGTTAAGGCTGCTTCTCCATTTTCACGTATTTTTTTCTCAATATTTGATTGAAGCGTGAAAGGGTCTGCAGAGCCAAATATGTAGAAAAGTCACAACTTTACAAAACAAGGAAAAAATTGATAGTAGCCCCGGAAAAGATAACTATGAACTGGGCATTTGGCAGCAAGCATAATAAGTAAATGTTATACGAGTACCCAAAATTTATTGGTTAAGCAAAACCTTGTTACCAGACTATTTTAAAACGACATTATTCATAATACAAATATTTTAAATCAATGTACCTATTTCAGCACCATCCATGGCTTCAATGAATTGACGGTGAACAATTTCACCAATTTCCTCACAGCTTTCAAGTTGCTTCTTCCTTTCATCATCCTTTTCTTCAGTTACCAGAAGATCATCTACTCCACAAGTGAAGCCATGCATCTAAATGATGGCAAACAAGCATGATCATGCTGACAAAACCAGCTTAAAAAGGGGAAGGGGAGGGAAGAGAAAGAACTAAAACTTTGAATTAATTGGTAGCTAACCTGTAAAAAGGCTGTGAACAAACGACTCAATGATGAAAGCAGATTGCCAGCAATATTTGAGCCATAAAGTTCTTGCACTGTATGTACCATACCAAAGTCACCAAATTGCGCCTTGTCGACTACGCCACGGACAAGATCATTTTTATATATCAACAATTTATCCTCATCAGGCTCTTCATTCTTTCTTGATATACCTCCTCCAGTGCCTTTTTTTCTCTCCCCAGTTCGAGTCTTGAAAAAATCACGTGGGATTTTTGCACTTTTCTCAACTGTAAATGGGGCATGACCCCTGGCAATATAATAGAGCAATGCACTGATAACCTACAGTGACAACAGAAACCAAGATTTAGATCAGACAAGCACATCATACCCAAGCAGGTAAATAGGATACCAGTGTTAGACCCCAAATAATTCCACAGCTTAATACAGTACCCCGCAAGAGAACAAAGACCAAAAGTTGTCAGAAAGTTGTCAGAATGTTTATTAATCTGAGCATGATATAGATCTTAAACCGAGCTACTTTAACTAAAAGACTAACTTAGAGTAACCTGTTTTCCTGTCCACAGGGGCTCCGGCTTCCATATTGCAGGAGGAAGTAGTGAAATGTCACTCTCAGAATTTGACGCAAAAACTTTCTGACCAGCCTTCCCATGAAAAGAACCTAGCCAAGCAGTGGATACGCCAGAACTGTATAGAAGTTGATTGAACTCTTCATAACTTAAAAAAGTATCCTTCTTTGTAAGAAGTGCGGCACTCACAATATGATCCTGGCAAAATTATTCAAAATCAGGATCTCAAAATCATAAAAGAACTTCTCACTTTCGATAAAATGAAGATTGTGGTTGTCATATTGTTGTTATTTGTATTAATAGAATTAATATTGTGTAAATACCTGAATCAAGGCTCTTATTGGATCACCACTGGTAGGTTTGACATATTGGTTATTGGCATTTACAATGTTATAGGCTTCAGCACGGGAAATTTCATCTTGTGGAAAATGAACATTAATCTCATCCCCATCAAAATCAGCATTGTAAGTACTGAAATTAAGAGGGTAAGAAAAACAGAATCAGATCCAAGTTAGCAACCACATTGACATTTAACACCTTGTATTTGTAAGAGTCAAAGCCAGACTTGTTAATCCAACCAAAAATCATACCAAGCTTAAATTATACAATTTCATATTACCTGCAGTTTGCATAATGCATGCGCACTGTTTTCTCCCCCTTTAAGACGCGAACTACATGTGCCATTATACTGGGCTTATGTAGTGTAGGCTGCAATAGAATATAATGTTAAACGAAGAAGTATAAATTTCATGTATTCAGACACATATTCATTCAACAAAACAATTGAGAGGCTCTAAAAAACCAGATTGATTACCACAGGTTGCTATTTGCAAACAAGCATTTGAATGGTGTTCATATGCATAAATACATAATATTTTATTGAAGGAATAAACGCCAACTACCATGTTATTCAACAATATCCAATTAGATAATGCAGTACCTGTCGGTTGACGAGCACAACATCTCCATCCCTCAAATGACGATACACAACTTTGCCTTCAAATTCATGCTCTTGTATCTTGCCATGTTGCATGATTACCCCTCTTGAAGATGAAAGCTTCCTTGATGTCATAGAAAGAACTTTGCCATTTTGGGTAAGCTTGACAGTGGATGCTTTATCAGCATAGTACGTGGCACCTGGGTGGGATTCTGGGCCATTACGTATAGCATCTCTTAACTCAACTACATTCCAAGGTGTAACTCTCTGCAGAGTATTAACAAAAAATTTAGGGCGGGAAGGGGTGGGGCCATAAGCAAAATAAGAGGCATGCACGGAAAAAGTTGAGACATAATTAGGGAAACCTCCTAGCAGAATCCAATATGAAACAAGATGTGTCTCAATTTCATAACTTGATACAGTAGGTAAGTTTCTGCAACTTTCATCTATGTTCAAAATTTACAAATTTCCCTTTATATTGTAAAAGACATGAAATTGTTGTCATACTGGTACTCTCCCTAACAAAACAGCAATGGAGCCATCATCTCTCACTCAAATGCAAAATAAATTGGTCAAGTAGGGACCCATATTTTAGTGAGTAATTTGGTCGACAAATCCCTTGAGTCCAGCATCCAACTAGATTTCTGGCATAATGCTTTTGATTTTAGCCACTTTTGTTATTTTAGGCTCTTCAATTTAAATAATCTTTTCAGAGAAAGAATAGATATACAAAGATGGATGATAAATATTTTTAGAATAATGACGGAAAAAGTTATATAGAGCAAAGCCAACCGAAATTGTTCCACAGACCCTTCAAACTATATCATGAAACACCAATAATTTTTTTTTTTCTTTTGACCAGCATGAAACACCAATAATTAACCAACAGAAATATCCTCTTTCTACCAGAGTCAAGCAAAACGAGTCTTAGTGATCTGGATTCAATTGCATAGTGTTGTCAGCAATTATCCAGGTTGCTCAAGGAACTGACGTACATAGCAAAACTACAGAATATATCCTTCAATCATTTCTATACATAGACATGCTGTAAATATGCGGATTGCTAAACTGATTAGATGTCAGAAGTTGATGGAAATGGAGGAAAAAATATAAATGTGTCCATCCAATAATGAATAGTTACAACTCTCACCTCAGGATAAGTTAATCTTAATGCAAAATATGGGGGAATTCCAATCTCATTGACAGCTAAATAAGGATCTGGTGATATCACAGAGCGGCATGCAAAATTAACCCTTTTCCCCATCATTTTCTGGCGGAAGATGCCTTCCTTCTTCTCTAACAACTGACAAATTCCAGAAGCTACATCTTTTTGACCTAGACCAACCAAGAAAACTTTGATGTAAGCATAAGCAAGCCATCAGAATTCTGAAACAGCCTCCTATTAACATACATGATGTATACGAATGAATCTAAAGAACAGAAAACTTTGTTCATTAATAGTAACAAACAAACAATTATCATTCCGAACAACATCATCTACCAGATGTTTCAAAAAGGGGCTGAGTTAAAAAGTCCAAAAGTGAACTTCAGAGCAGAAATTGGCCTCTTTTGAAAGCATCTAAAATTGGAGGGGCCAGCATGAGGTCACTGTACAGTCAAAACACGTGCCATTTTTTCCACAAGATTGGACTTCGTTGTCTCCATTGCAAAAAAATATCTTGAGTGCCCAGATTTCACCGTAAATTGCTAGGGCATTCTTTA